GGCGCCGAAGATCCAGAATGGCGCCAGCGCATAGCAGTAGCAGTCTCGCATCGTCGTCCTCCCAAATTGAGCCAGCGTCCAGACAGCGTAGAGCCGTCAGCATCAAGCCAGAGCCAAACAGCAAGTGCAAGACTGAATGTCGGTCAGCAGGGGCTGGGTTGACTCCCGTTGACCGACCAGCCTCTGGTCTCCCCGCTACGATGGCCCAGATTGGCCCACAGTCAGTTGTAGATTCCCACTTGGACTGGATTCTCGACGGATACCTGCAAACAGCCAAGTGTGTGTGTCAAGCCAGATTGGCCTCTGGTCAAGCCAGAGTCAAACCGCTACGATGGCCCAGATTGGCCCGCAGTCAATGGCCTGGATCGCATACAGTTGCAGATTCCCACTTGGACTGGATTCTGGACAGATACCTGCTGCAAACAGCCAAGTGTGTGTGTCTGATCGGTGGCCTGGGCTGGGTCCATGTTGACTTTGACTCGTGAGTCTGAATTTCCGAGCTGCTGTTGACCTTTGACTTTCCACGGTCAACTTTCCACGGTCAACTGTTGGACGTAGGGCCTCTGAAGCCCAGTTTTGGGCCGCCATGCTTCGGGTACCCACAGCAGCAGGCCTTGGCCTTGGTTCAGGCAATTTTCCATGACTCGGGTGTGGCCTTTGGCCCGTCATTCGGCCCTTAGACGGAAAAATGACGACCTATGGCTCACGACTATTGCATGTATCAAGCTGAGTTATTGCACAACAGTCACACAGATACGGAAATTATAGACCCATAACTAATGACCAAAGTTCAACAACGCTATAGAAAATACTAACGACTATTATCAAGAGTATAGGTCAATGTGGCGCAATCGTATGCAGTGGGTCTTGCCCTCTTTTCAATTACACCGAATGTATAAGTAAGGGGCTAGAGGACATGCTTGCCTTAAACCGGCAAGACTGGCAAGTACACGGCCCCAGCCTTGCAGTCCGAAAACTTGCCGCCACAAGAAAACGACTCGGAGGCCGAAACGTCAAACGCTGGGCCCGTCATTGATAAATTCGATCGGCGCTGGCGTTTTCGTTTTGCACCTCTAGAATTTGAGTGTCAGGCCCGTGGCCCAGGTGCCCATGTACTGGTGCTTTAAACCGCCAGAACACGGCCCCAGCCTTGCTGAAAATGCAACTCGTAGCCTACAAAAGTGTTGGAGGCTCGGCCTACCGAACCACAATAGCTGGCGGCGCCAGCCCAAAAAGAACGGAAGTGTGCCGCTCGCAGTTCGGAAAAGCTTGGTGCGCAGTAAGGCGCCTCTGGGCCCGGGTGTACTTAACTGGTGGTTTAAACTTTAAAGATCAAACTGGATTTCTCAAGCTGTGGAAAGTACAGGATGCTGCTATGGCTGCAACACAAGGAATAGAACTTGTGAATAGGAGGGAAATTCCAGTGGGTGTAATTCTGTTTTTGAGAAAGCCTATGAGAGAGTTAATAAGGATTTCCGATTTGCCCATATGGCACAGTCGGAGTTAGGTGAGAAATACATGGACTGTGTCAAAGCTCTATTATAAATTATAGGATAATTGTATCTATTATTTTATCATTCTTATTTATTTGAATATATATCGTCACAAACAGAACTGCCCGGTAAACCGTAGGCAGAGAGAGAGAAGAGGACAACAAACGAGGGGCTGTGACAAACTGTTTCGT